GAGCCTTAAATTATTTGAGGGAGAAACATCGATTTGTTGTTCCGCGTATTTGTGCATCATGGGTTGATTCTTGTATGTGCCCTGGCCAGGGATCAAACTCAAAACCTTGGCCTATCAGGATGATGCTCCAGCCAACTGAGCCGCCCGCCAGGGCTGTGTTGCATTTCTTTATCAAATAGGACATGATAATAAAACTTCACAGGATTCAGACGGTTAAATGAGTCCGTTTAGTCTCAGCACCAAGCACGGGCGTTGCAGCCAGACACATACTTAGTCCTTTGCACCACCTGCTGTGTTATCCTGAGCAGATCATTTAATACTTTCAGCCTTGGTTTCCTAAAGGCCTGCCTCGTGTGGCTGCTATGCCTGACACACAACACAATGCCCAACATGTAGTTGATGCTTGTCAAAAGTTAACTCCCTTTGAAATGGTGTTTTCAAACTAAGTTGCCACCCAGTAGTGGATATTGAAGTCAATTTAGTGGATTGCAAATCGCATTTAAAAACAAAAAAAAAACAACAAAAACTATTACATATAGCAAGGCTGAGCATTGTTTCTCAAAACAGCTGTCTATATAAATGTGTCTATAAATATGTGTACACCTATTCTCTAAGCTATGATTTTTTTACTTTACAATATTGTAAAAGTGGTATACATAATATATTACATTAGATATTCAACCTTCTATTATAAAATAGGCTCTGTATTAGATGATTTTGCTCAACTGTAGGCTAATGTAAGTGTTCCTAGCATATTTAAGGTAGGCTAGGCTATGCTATTGTGTATTAAATGCATTTTCATCTTACAATATTTTCAATTTATGAGGGATTTATCGGGATGTAACTACGTTGTAAGTTGAGGAATATTAACTTGTGAACTTGGGGCCTTATGATATTTATTTCTTATTCCATGTTCTGGTCAGAAATATTTTTTCAATGCTTTAGAAGGATAATAACAGAATGCTTGGCATAAAGAGAAGCATCAAACTGAATAAATATCCAGGTTTACCCCTAGTTGTGAGTCTCCTCTCTGAGACTGTGTGAACAATGATGGAGATGATAATGTGTTTCCTTCCCAGGTCATGGAGGACACTCAGGCTGTTAACTGGGAGGCTGAAGAGGAGGAGGAGACAGAGAGACCCAGTGACTCCTTGGGGTGTAGCCTGGAGCCCCTAGGGCGACTGCATGTCTTCAGTAGTGCTCACGGACCAGAAAAAGGTCAGGGGATAGTGATGCTGAAGCACTAGTGTAGGCTCTTTCTTCTGTGGGGAGGGAGTTGGAGGGTTCTAAGAAACTTACGTATATATTTTGTTAATCTTCACCTGAAAATATTTTTTCCATTGATTTTTAGTAATTTTTTAAAAACATGTTTTTATTGACTTCAGAGAGAGAGGAAAGGAGAGGGAGAGAGAGAAACATCAATTACAAGAGAGAATCATCGAACAGCTGCCTCCTGCATGCCCCCTTCTGTGGATCAAGCCTGAAACCCAGGCATGTGCCCTGCTGGGAATGGAACCGTGACCTCCTGGTTCATGGGTTGATGCTCAACCTCTGAACACACCAGCCAGGCTCCATTAATTTTTAGAGAGGAGAGAAGGAAAGAGAAACATTCATGCGAGAGAGAGAACATCAGTTTGTTGCCTTTCGCATGTGCCCTGACTGGGGCCTAGGATCAAACCTGCAACCCAGGTACATGCCCTTCACGGAATCAAACCCACAACCTTTTGTGCATAGGCCAGCACTCTAACCACTGAGAAACACCAGCCAGGGCAAAACTTGTTTTCAAGGAGATCTGAAAAAATGTTTTACTGGGAATGGAGAAGAGGGGGCTAATTGACTTGTTCCAGGCAAGAGCTCTGGACTCGCAGTGGTTTTACTGTACACTTAAAAAGGGTTACAGTGCTATATTTTATGTTTATTTTATCACAATAGAAAAAATCCAGTATGGATGGGTGGAGTGTTGCCTATGAATAATGTATTGCATATAATCTTCAATACTTAGATGTCCTAGGGCCTTTTATTTTTCTATTGCGTGTGAGGACCTTGAATGAGTAGTTGGGTACTTAACCAGAAATTTTCCCAGTAGCAGGCCAGGAATGTGGCCTGGAACCTATCTACCCTCTAATTCTTAGATTTCCCACTCTACCTCGGGAAAAACGTGGTAGGCCGAATGCCTGATTGCTCTGTGGCCCTGCCCTTTCCATCCATCTCCAAGCAACATGCAGTGATTGAAATCTTGGCCTGGGACAAGGCACCTGTCCTCTGGGATTGTGGGAGCCTCAATGGTACTCAAATCCTGAGGCCTCCTAAGTTCCTGAGCCCTGGGGTGAGTCATCGTCTGAGGGACCAGGAGTTGGTTGTCTTTGCTGACTTGCCCTGCCAGTACCATCGCCTGGATGTCTCCCTGCCCTTTGTCTCCCGGGGCCCCCTAACTGTAGAGGAGACACCCAGGGTACAGGGAGGAACTCAACCCTGGGGGATCCTATTGGCTGAGGACTCAGAAGAGGAAGTAGGTAAGTGTATGTATTTGGGAGGGTGGGCAAGGAGACGGGGATGGTGAATGTAAAACTGTCAACTTCTTTCTACTCTTGGCAGATCCTCTTTCTGAAAGGTATGTGGCAAATGAACCAAGGACCATGTCCTCCCTTTTGGCAACAGTCGTTCCAGAGAGGTGAGTGTTGAGGGCCAGACACCTGAGTCTTCAGAAAGAGAAGGAACCTTGGGACTGAAGAATCCATCTGTAAGAGAGAGAATCATCATGGAAATGAGGGTGGGGAGCTAACATACTCTTTCATTAACTGAATTTTCTTTTTTTTTTTTAAACTTTTTTTTTTAATATATTTTATTGATTTTTTACAGAGAGGAAGGAAGAGGGATAGAGAGTTAGAAACATCGAAGAGAGAGAAACATCGATCAGCTGCCTCCTGCACACTCCCCAATGGGGATGTGCCCGCAACCAAGGTACATGCCCTTGACCGGAATCGAACCTGGGACCCTTCAGTCCTCAGGCCGACGCTCTATCCACTGAGCCAAACCGGCTATGGCAATTAACTGAATTTTCATTGAGCACCTTTGATGTTCCAAGTGGAGAACTAATTGCTGGAGATAGAAAAACAAATACTACCTTGTTTCTGCTCTCCAGGAGCTCACACTTGAGTCAGGTATCCCTTCCTGGGAAATGATTCTATAAACTCTTTCTCTTCTCTTCCCTTTATAGTGATGAAGAAGGGCCTTCTTCTGCCCCAGATGGCCCTGGGCCACCTTCTGCCTTCAACTTAGACAGTGACACAGATGAGGAAGAAAGTCAGCAACCAGCAGCAGGGTGGGCCTCCTCAGCTGCCACAAGAGATGCTACTGCAGAGACAGAACAGCCTGAGGCTGTCAGAACTGAAATCCAGGTTGAAAAGGATCCGTCTTTGGGGCAGGAGAGGAACAGTGACATAAGAGTCAAGAGAGATGCAAGCAATGGGGTGATTCTGGAGAGGAGCCAGCCCCCTGGGGAGGACAGTGAGACAGATGTGGAGGATGAGAGCAGGCCTCCAGGAAAGCCAGCTGAGGGTCATCTCGAAAGGGCCCAGCCTTCTGGCTTCATAGACAGTGATACTGACGTGGAAGAAGAGGCGATTCCCACGACCCCAGCTGTGGTGCCCATGAAAAGAAGGCAGATCTTCCATGGAGTTAATGCAGAGAGTCCTGGGGGACCTGACCTGGCACATCTTCACGAGAGCCCGGCTGGCAGTGAGACAGATGTGGAGGAGGCTGAGGCCCCACTCACGGTCCCTCTGGAGCGAAGCCAAGCCTCCATGGTGAGCAACAGCAATGTAGATGATGAGGAAGGAGTGTCAGCAGCACTCACTTTGGTGCATCTGAAGGAGAGCCGAGCCACTGCCTGGAACAGAGATACAGATGTGGAAGAGGACAGAGCCCAACCTCCGGCTTTTCTTGAGCAAAGCCAAACCTCTACTGGGAGAGACAGTGACACAGACATGGAGGTGGAGGGGTTCCCAGTGGAAAAGAGAGGATATGTCCCCAAGAGTCACACAGACAAAGCTCAGCCAGAAAAGAGCCCGCCTCCTTTCGGGGACAGTGACAGAGAAGTGGAAGAAGAGAAGAGCTCACCCGGAGTCCTGGAGAGAAGCCAGGCCTCTGCCACAGTGGGCATCAACACACCCTTGGAAGAGGAAGTCTCCCCGGGGCCAGCTGTTACTCTCCCAGGGAAGCATGAGGTGCCTGTGGCAGGCACAAATCCAACAAATGTGGAAGCAGAAGGGGGCCCAGCAAAGCTGCCTGCCGTGCACCTAGAGGAAGCCCAGCCTCCTCCAGGTGGGTACTGTGGAACAGATGCTGCGGAGGGTGCATCCTCCGCAGTGGCAGGTGTAAGAAAGAGCCAGCTTCCAGCAGAAGGGGATGCTGGGACAGAGTGGGTTGTTCCTGTTCTTCAGCCAGAGAGAGCTCTTGAGGCAGCAGCCCAGGGTGGGTCACCTTTAGCACAAGTAGAACAGGACCATCTCCTTGTCTCAAGGGAGAACCTAACAGATCTCTTGGTAGACACAGGTACTGCAGGGGAACCCACCCAGGCACAGAGAAAGGGAGCCCAGCCCCCCAGAGAAAGTGGGGGAGAACCACATGTGGACATGACCAAGAACTGTGGACACAGCCATGATGGTAAGTGCTGGCCTGCTCTCCTTCCTTGATCTCTGAGATAAAGAAAGCTTACAGGGAGACTTAATCCATTCAAGCTGCTGCAACAGAATACCAGAGGAGATGGCTTGTAAACAGGAAACATTCCTCACAGTTCTAAAGGCTGGAAAGTCTAAGATCAAGGCACCGGCAGATTCAGTGTGTGGTGAGGGCCTGCTTCCTGTTCATAGGTGGCCCACTTCTCACCATATCCTTAACTGGCAGAAGGGCACAAGGGTGCTCTTTGGGGTCTCTTTTATAAGGGCACTAATCTCATTCATGGGGGCTCCACCCTGAGGACCTAATCACTTCCCAAGGCCCCTGCCTTCTAGTACTATCTCATGGGGATATTAGAAATAAGAATGTGGGGTGGACTCTTCCCAAAAGGGGCCAACTGTGGCCCCTGGAAATGGTTCACTATTCACTTGACCCAGAAAACCCCACAAAATCATGCAAATCAAGAGGTTCAAATCTTCGTGTTCACTTTAAGAACACTCGTGAAACTGCCCAGGCCATCAAGGGTATGCATGTCTAAAAAGTCACCAAGTATCTGAGGATGTCACTTTACAGGAGCAATAGGTGTCATTCCATCATTACAATACCTACCTGGGCTGCTAGGTATGCCCAGGCCAAACAGTGGGGCTGGACACAGAGTCGGTGGCCCAAAAAGAGTGCTGATTTTTGCTACACACGCTTAAAATGCAGAGAGCTTAACTTAAGTGTTTAGCTGTAGACTCTCTGGTCACTGAGCACATCCAAGTGAACAAAGTCCCCAAGATGTGGCATAGAATTTGCAAGCGCTCATGGCAGATTACCCCCCACATGAGATCTCCATGCCACCTGGAGGTGACAGTACAGAAAAGGACCAGATGGTTCCTAAACCAGAAGAGGAGGTTGCACAGAAGGAAAACGTGTCCCAGAAGAAAGTGAGGAAACAAAAACGTAAGACCCGGGAGTAAATTTAGCATAAAATAAGTACCAATGAAAGTTTTGGTGGTGTTTTTTTTTTAAAGAATGTGTGGTCCTAGCCGCTTTGGCTCAGTGGCTAGAGTGTCAGCCTATGGACTGAAGGGTCCTCAGTTCAATTCCAATCAAGGGCATGCACCTAAGTTGTAGGCTCAATCTCTGGCCCTGGTTAGGGCTTGTGTGGGAGGCAACCAATCAATGTGTCTCTCTCACTTCGATGTTCCTTTCTGTCTCTCCCCCTCCCTTCCACTCTCTCTAAAAATCAATGGAAAAATATCCTTGGGTGAGGATTAACAAAAAAAAGAAAGAATAATGTGGGGTGGGACACAGACATTCAGTCTTGCGTAGGGATTTGAGTTGGGGAGAGAATTGTAGAGAAAAAGTAAGACATTATGGGTCAGATGTGATGTTTTATTCTGTATTTCACCACCAGATTCTGAAGATCTAGACCAACAAGCTACCCAGTGTTTTGTGGAGAGAGAGAACCAGAGCCCGGAAGGTGAGGGCATTTGTGTCATGGGGATGCTGTACACAGCAGGAGCGGGGAGATTACACTGGTGGTCCTTGAAGGGTGTGAGGCTGGCCTAGGCAGGGCAGGAGACTGAGAATGGCCTGGAGTTCTGTGCTGAGGCCACCTTTTCCTGTGCAGCAGTCCCGCGCATGGAGGATGAGCCCACCCAGGCCTTCCTGTTTACTCCACCCCAAGAGCCTGGCCCTTCCCATTGCAGCTTCCAGGCCTCAGGTATAAGAAACTCCCCTCCTCTGTGCCCCTAACTTTGCCTCCTGTTTTCTCTCTATACATGTTTCTTTCATATTACTTTATTTTTTTGCTGATGTTTCTCCATCTTACTAAGGGAAGAAAGTCATATTTAGTTAGACCCATAGAGCAACTTGTCTAGCATAACTTTTACACTTGATCTTAGCCAAAAGACCAAGAAGCGTTCTGTAGCATAGTTTTTAAGAGGCTACTGTGAGAGCTTTTATATAAAGTATGGTCTTACTTTTTGAAACAAGCATTAAAAGTTACAACTATCCTCCTTACTCGTAGCTTTTTATAAATAGCCCATATAGATTTATTGTTCATGAATTTACCTTAATTCTTTCTCAACCTGTTACCTTCTCTCTCTCTCTCTCTCTCTCTCTCTCTCTCTCTCTCTCTCTCTCTCTCTCTCTCTGACTCTCTACTTCCAGGTGGCCTGGATGAGCCTTGGGAAGTCTTGGCTACACAGCCATTCTGTCTAAGAGAATCTGAGGCCTCTGAGACCCAGCCCATTGCTACCCACCTGGAGGCCCATGGATCTTGCCCCTTGTCACCCAGGCCAACACCTCAAGACCAACATCTGGAAAACCCATTTCACGCAGAGCCATTGGGGATTCAAGGCGGAGGGTTGCAGACTTCGGAGAAAGGCATAGGTACACCAAGAGAAGCAGCAGAGAGGGTGACCCCAAAGAGAGAACCATTAGAGAGGGAAACTAAAAAACTGCCACCTGCAGGGTCAAGAGAAGATGTGATGGGAGAGGAAGAATTAACCAGGGTGATGAAGGACAGGGAACAAAAGCAGGTGTTAGCTAGAGACACTCGGAGACAAGAGTCCAATAAAACTGGAAAGTGCAAGTATGGAAAGGGATATAGAGAGTTTGAAGGTAGAAATTGAGACACCCAAGGAACTACAAGAGGTGGTAAAGCAGTCTTTTGCAAGAGAAGTATTTAAGAAGGAAGCAGGGAAACTAGCACCAGAGAAAGATTGTGAGCCAGGTAGATTAGAAGTCAACATATCCAAAGTAATACTGGAAGGAGGCGCACAGAGAGGGGGGACAGAGAGGGAGCCAGGACCAGAAAGGGCAGCCCTCCAGTCCAACACTGGACCCTGAAGGAGGGGCAGGGGACCTTGTGGACTATCATTAGCCCTGATAGCGTCTAGGAGCCAGTCAGGTGGAGGAAGGTAAGTCCCAGGAGGCAGCAGAGAGGTGAGTGAAGGCAGAGGGTAAGACCCACCCAGGTGTTAACAAAGCCTTATGATAACCCCTAAGTAACTGCCTGCTTGGACCTCAGCCACACTTGTCTTTACTTTCTGTCTAGGACCCCTGAATTGCAAGATGTCCCCGGCTGAGAAGGCTTCTAGGGTGAGAGCTGCTTTCTCTACCTCCCCTCCACTGCCCCTTACCAGACCTTGCTTTCACCTGCTCTGCCCCATCTTCTCCACTCTCGTCATTTCCACCACTCTCAGTTGGCTTCTGGCCCTTTACATTGGCACCTGTTGTTTTCCATCTATCTGTTCCCAGCTCTGTTTCCCTCTCCCTGACTCAGAAAGAACATCCCTTTCTTCATGTCCCTTCCCTCTTTTCCCAACCACCCATCATCCATATATTGACAGCACTATCCTGGCCTTACGGGGAGAGGTCTGTGGGAAGAAGTCCCAGTCTAATGGAAGATGGTCAGAGACAGAAAGAGAAATGCCAGTGAGCGTACTTCCACTGTAACAAGTATTGAGAACAGTGTCCAGTCCCCTCTCCCTCCCTCACGTGCTTCTATTTCTCCCCAGGGTGATCCAGGATCCCTAGATGTTTGTCTGCCTCCAGCAGTCCCTGAAGCCTCAGCCCCAGTCCAAAACTCCCTCATCCCTCAGAGCCAAAAACATCTTGCTTCTCAGCCCCTCTTTGCTCCATCTCCACCTTTAGAGTCGCCCATTCCCAGCTCCAGGCAAAATGGGAGTCAGGAAGCTCTGGAGAATCCCTTGTCCTCAGAGCTGGACCCTCTTCATGCAAAATCCAAATGCAGGCCCCAGGGGTGCTCCAGGATGACACCCTCTCCAGCTTCTATAGCCCCTGAGCTCCACCCTGCCACCTCCAGAGAGCAGCCTGTCCCCCCTGAGCCCACATCTCGGGCCACGCGGGGCAGGACACATAGGGCCTCTGTCAGGACCCCTGAACCGACTGTCCCCACAGACCAGCCTGTCCCCCCTGAGCTCACATCTCAGGCCACGCGGGGCAGGACACATAGGGCCTCTGTCAGGACCCCTGAACCGACTGTCCCCACAGACCAGCCTGTCCCCCCTGAGCTCACATCTCAGGCCACGCGGGGCAGGACACATAGGGCCTCTGTCAGGACCCCTGAACCGACTGTCCCCACAGACCAGCCTGTCCCCCCTGAGCTCACATCTCAGGCCACGCGGGGCAGGACACATAGGGCCTCTGTCAGGACCCCTGAACCGACTGTCCCCACAGACCAGCCTGTCCCCCCTGAGCTCACATCTCAGGCCACGCGGGGCAGGACACATAGGGCCTCTGTCAAGACCCCTGAACCGACTGTCCCCACAGACCAGCCTGTCCCCCCTGAGCCCACATCTCAGGCCACGCGGGGCAGGACACATAGGGCCTCTGTCAAGACCCCTGACCCGACTGTCCCCACAGACCAACCTGTCCCCCCTGAGCTCACATCTCAGGCCACGCGGGGCAGGACACATAGGGCCTCTGTCAAGACCCCTGACCCGACTGTCCCCACAGACCAACCTGTCCCCCCTGAGCTCACATCTCAGGCCACGCGGGGCAGGACACATAGGGCCTCTGTCAAGACCCCTGAACCGACTGTCCCCACAGCCCCTGACCTTGAACCTCTGACCTCTACAGACCAGCCTGTCACCCCTGAGCCCACATCTCGGGCCACACGGAGCAGGACACATAGGGCCTCTGTCAAGACCCCTGAACCGACTGTCCCCACAGACCAGCCTGTCCCCCCTGAGCCCACATCTCAGGCCACGCGGGGCAGGACACATAGGGCCTCTGTCAGGACCCCTGAACCGACTGTCCCCACAGCCCCTGACCTTGAACCTCCGACCCCTACAGACCAGCCTGTCACCCCCAAGGCCATAGCTCAGGGTGGTCGGAGCAGGACACTGAGGTCTACAAGAAGTGCTGTGCCAGTTCCTACCACCCCTGAATCCCAGTCTCCTTTCCCCACAGACCAGCCTATTCCCCCTGAGCCCATCCCTCAAGCCAATTGTAGCAGGAGGCCAAGGGTCGCTAGGCAGCCCCTCGCAGTTCCCATTGTCTATGAACCCTGCTCTGCACCCCTTGAACCTAACGCCTGGTCCTCAAGGAGCCAAAGGCGAGGAGCAGTGAGAGCAACCAAGTCCCTTAGGACCATTCCTGAGCCTGCCTTTGCCCAGCTTCCTGGGGCGCCCACTCATGCTCTCCAGATCCAAAAGATAGAGGCAACAGGTGGATATGAGTTCAGCCCAGGGTCCCCGCCTAAGGCCTTTCAAAACCACAAGAAGCCTTCAGATACTGTGGATTCACCCCCACTTCCAAAACGGCTGCGAAGAGAAGTCCCTCAGAAGACAGTGGTCCTCAAGGAAGAAGAGGAAGAGAAGCCAGGGAAGGAAGAGGTGAGGAGAAGGCTGGGGCTGCGAGCTGGGAAGGGGCTGGGGGCTCAGAAGTTCCCACCAGGATCCTTCTCAATTCCAGGATGTGGTGATGCCAGGACCAGGCAAGAGAAAGAGAGACCAGGCTGAGGAAGAGCCCAAAGGAATGCCAGTCCGCAGCCTCCGACAGACTAAACCTAGCCATGAGTCCGCAGCCCCCAAAGTAGGAGAGAAGGGTCCTGGGGCTTCATGGGAGCAGATGTGGGGATGGGAGGGGACTGGGGCCTTGGGAGATAGGCACTGGTGCAAGGCTTGCTGTGACCAACGTAGGCCCATCCCCTCCACAGGTGCTCTTCACAGGAGTGGTGGATGCCCGTGGAGAGCAGGCAGTGCTGGCCCTGGGGGGAAGTCTGGCCAGCTCAGTGGCAGAGGCGTCCCACCTGGTGACTGATCGAATCTGCCGGACAGTCAAGTTCCTGTGTGCCCTAGGGCGGGGGATCCCTATCCTCTCCCTGGACTGGCTGTACCAGGTGAGAGGCCAGGAGATGGTGGCAGACCAATAGAGAACGTGGCGGGAGGAAGAGGGGTGCAGGAAGACCAGGGTGAATGAGCGGAAGCCTTCATTCAAAAACACTTTGTGAGCCCCCTGTAAATGCTAGGCTTTGATACTGACTGCTGCCACCCTTAGTCCCGCAAGGCCGGTTGCTTCTTGCCCCCGGATGACTATGTGGTGACTGATCCTGAGCAGGAAAAGAACTTTGGCTTCAGCCTCCGTGACTCCCTGAGCCGGGCTCGTGAGCGAAGGCTGCTAGAGGTGAGGGACTGTCTTCCTCCGCATGCTCTAGCCCTCCCTCCAGAAGTTTCCCAGCAGCGCATGGCTTCAGTGCAGCTTTCCACTGGCTCCACCATTTCCTTCCTCCTAGGGCTATGAGATTCATGTGACCCCTGGAGTCCAGCCACCCCCACCTCAGATGGGAGAGATCATCAGCTGCTGTGGAGGCACTGTCCTACCCAGCATGCCCCGCTCCTACAAGGTATAGGGGAGTGTGTTCTTTATCTGGGGAGTTGCAGATGGGAACACTAGTGAGAGGGCTGGGGGAAGACCTATGGTACAGAAAGGGATAGGAGCCCAGCCAGTGTGGCTCAGTGGTTGAGCATCGACCTATAAACCAGGAGGTCAGGGTTCAATTCCCGGTCAGGGCATATTCCCAGGTTGCGGGCTCAATCCCCAGTGTGGGGCGTGCAGGAGGCAGCCAGTCAGTGATTCTCATCATTGATGTTTCTATCTCTTTTTCCCTCTCCCTTCCTCTCTGAAATCAATAATATTTTTTTTAAAAAAAAGGGAGAGGGAGCCCTAACCGGTTTGGCTCAGTGGATAGAGCATCGGCCTTCGGACTCAGGGGTCCCAGGTTCGATTCCAGTCAAGGGCACGTACCTTGGTTGCGGGCACATCCCCAGTAGGAAGTGTGCAGGAGGCAGCTGATCGATGTTTCTCTCTCATCGATGTTTCTAACTCT